CTCCTTGATGTGAGCTTTCTTCTGTCCAATCTTCACTTTGCCAACTTGAGTATGGCAAATGGCCCGGATCACTTGACAATACTTCTTGGCCCTCTCCACCTCAGCCGGACTGTCCTTGGTTTCACTCCATCGCTTTTGGTATTTGGTAAATGCCTTCTGCTTCGATGAGTGCCAAGACTTGTAGAAGCGACGCTTGCACTCCTCCGACAAATGTCCTGCCCAAACAGACGTCAAAGCACGAAGACCTCGGGGCGTCTCAACGTAACCGACGAAGCCTACGACAATCATCGGAGGACTTTCCAAGATGGTCACGGGCTCCACGATCTCTTTCTTGTTCAATTTGGAGCCAGGTCGATCGACCTCACGGACAATGTGAGTCATACCTGCCTTGTAACTCATGAAGGCGGTCAAATGCGGGCTCTTGGATTGATCATCCTTCGGGAAGCTCTTGATCTTGCCATGGTGATGCCTCACAACGAAACAACAACGAACAAAAGAGCGAAGAAACACAACGTTCTAGATCAATGTCACATCAATGTGTCCTGCCCAAACGAACTCAATATGTTGCAAGGAGAATTATTCATCTTTGTGACGTTCAGGAGAAAGGTGTGTTGATCTTCTCCTTACGCGTTTTCTTCGGCACTGTAGCTGTTTGGAAGGTGATTCGATGTTGATTCATTGTGACTTTTGGATGACAGAGCTCCTTGGGAACACGTTTTCGTGCCCAGACATAAACAACTCCTCGGCCCATTTTTTGCACGCACTTGCAAGCAAAAAAGAAACCAAAGCAAGCTATTCACCCAAAACTGGGCATGTGACAATGTGGCTATGTTTTCATAGTTGCATAATGATACATAAAATTACGTAGGTTGTGAAAATGGCAACAGACTTTCTGACCTTCTTTATGATGTTTCAACTTGGATTGGTGAAACGTGTCCAACATATATGCCTTGAGATTGGGTAACACTGCAACCAGGATTCTGTATTTCTATCCCTGTGAAGGTGAGTGACCCAGAAGGATACAGACTTTTCTCAAGCTCTTTTGAGCGTTGAAGTGAGCTCTTTTGTTTTCTCCACAGAAGCCGTCATCCACATAGATTCCGATGACACAACCGCCGGCTGCTTTTCGAGTGGATGCCCTTTGGGGTTTGGAAGTATGTAGAAACATGGATCGAGTGGCTGATTCAAAATGTCCGTCTCAATTCTTAAGGCTGAATACCGAATTGCGACCGACCTGTCTCAATCCAATTCTGAATAACATCTGCAACAGTTGCTTCTTGCTTCTTGCAACTAGTAGTAACAAGAAGCTAGTAGTAACAAGTGCCACGCTAAAGATTGACCCCGGGAAATGGGACGGCCAAGGAGTGCAGTTCAGGCGAAATGGAAAGCTTCGTTCAAATCGGCTCCGGAGTGCAGAGCGCACGACTAGTTCTTCTGGGCCAGCCCCAGCTGGCTGTTTTGTTTGGTGAACACCCCTTTCTTGAATATCTGTCTAGAACGAATGTAGCTACTTAAGTAGAGATTAGAGATTGAAAAAAAAGAAAAAGAAAGAAAAGAGCAAACCGAAAACCGACTCCGCCAGGTCACTTGGTCCTTTTTCTTGGGAGGAAACCCAGGGAACCATGGCGCGGCCGTTCGAACTTGCGATGAGACATGGCGGAATCGTGCGTGAACCGAAACCTGAGGAAAAAAGCACAAGAAAACTTGACAATATCTGTTACTAGCTAGCGTGGCACCTGTTACTACTAGCGTGGCACCTGTTCCTAGTAGCTTCTTGTTACTAGCTAGCGTGGCACCTGTTACTACTAGCGTGGCACAAGCTTCTTGTTACTACTAGTAAGGCACCTGTTACTACTAGCGTGGCA